GATGTCATCTCATTTATTTGAAATAAAATTAAAAGTCAGGTTATTTTATCTTATTCATTTCACTTCATATTTTGTAGAACAAAAGATTAGAATTATGAGCCGAGGTGGCGCAGCAGTTAGAGTGCAGCACTGCAGGCCACTTTAGCTGACTGTTCAGCAGGTCAGCGGTTCAGATCTCACCGGCTCAAGGTTGACTCAGCCTTCCATCCTTCCGGGGTAGGTAAAATGAGGACCCAGATTGTTGGGGGCAATGTAAATATATATATACATTGCTTACTGGTGTACACCGCTTAGAGAGTGCTTGCACTTAAAGCGGTATATAAGTCTCATAAATAAATAAATAAATAGATAAACAAAGCAGTAAGTGAATTTGCCAGAAATATAATAGTACAGTAAACAGAAAGGAGGCAAATAAGCATTTTCTGTTGCTATTGTTGAAAAGGAATCACTATCAAGACAGCTCCGCTTGTCAAAATGTAACCCAATAGTAAACCTTATTCTGTGATAGCTTGAAAAATAAGTTGACTCCTAACTGAATCCAAAGAAATTTATTTGACTTATATGTTATTGTGAACTTGCCAGATACCCACCTCTTAAAGTTACTCATGAACTGGAAGCCATTTAATTGCTATTCCATTTTTTTCTCCAATTTTGCAAAGCAGTCTTTCAAATGAAAAATGTCCATATTAAGGGGAAATGCATACAAAAGCTCATACATTGGTAAAACAGCATACCAAAAAGCAATACACTAAAGTAAATATAATGAAAAATGAGAACAAAAGGAAATTGTGCTGAGCATATGTGCAAATCTTTGGGCAGACTTTTTTTTAAAAAAAAAAAAACAGAATTGGATGTAGAAATTGAATGGAATGTACCTACCACCAGAAAAACAACATGTTATTTAAATTTTTTTGTCAGATTTATATCCTGCTATTCCTTCCAGGAGTTCAAGCAATGTACCTACTTTTCCCTCCTTCAATTTTCCTATAACATCTCTGGGCCACTGGCTGGGTTAAGTGATTGAATATCTTTGCACAGGAATGGGAGCTCAGGGGCAGAATATAGCCATTAGCTACCAGGTTTAGCATATCCATCTTTTTTAAATGTCCACAAAGCCTGGAAATTTGCCCATCTGTCAACATCATCATCGATCTCAGCCACCCTCTCCACCTCAAAGGGCAAACTAATGTTTAAAGTTTTCTAACTGTGGCTTTACAGGTTGCACAAACCTAGCCATTTATAAATAAAAGTTTATGAATTACTTGGATATGCATCCAGCCAGATATAGCTTACTCAACAAACCATCTTGATATAAGTCATAGATTAGGGCAATGTGTAGATCAGGTCATTTCCTAGACTATTATAGTTGGTCACACAGTCAGCCAGATGTTTCGAGTGCATTCGGCATTTTTGCCTAACCTATCAAGTATTTCCATGTACCTGGGCTAGACAGTTGTTGTTTGATTGGGGTTAAAGGAATTGTCACAGGTGCCAATAAAGCTCCCATACGCAATTGACTGATGGTTATCTTGTCAATGCCAGTGGTGTTCAAGTGTTTTGAAATTGCACCCTATTACTGTTGTATTACTTTTGCTTTCTTTTGCCACAGTCATTCTGCTTCTGTTTGCAAGTTTGCAAGTCATTATATTTTGTGATTTTCTCCAGTTCTTTCTCTTCTGTTCTGCTGTCTCCAAGTATTGCAATGCTCATTTTCGAGACTATTATTATTCAGGCAAGTTTCTGGGATTGTGTAAAATAGAGACTGAGTCACAGCATGTATTATCCCATTAAGCTATTAGCTTCCCTCTCTGCTTTTTTGCTCTTGCTTCACTTCTAAACTTGGTGATCATCAGTCACACTTTCACAAATCTGAGGTTACAATTGTATTCCACAGAATGGAGTTTGGCAAGGAACGTATGCAGCATGTGTGGATGGAATGAATTCAGTTGTGAACACTTAACGCTCCTGTTATAATTTTTTACTCTCCCCATCCAGCATTTAGTGAACAGCTTGTCTTACCTTTCCATGCCCGAGATTTTCTTTCTTTCCCCTAATTGATTGTTTACAGCACAGACTGGATTTACAAAGAAATTGAAGCACATTTTTCATGACAATCAGGAATTTTTTGTCTAATAATTTTGTTCAACTGCATCCGACAACAGAAATGGGCATTTATTTCCTCTCAATTGGTCTAGGTTTGGTTTGGTTTGGTTTGAAAAAGCTCCTAAGTCTACACAAACAATTTCACCTAAGGCATATGAGCATGTGTCATGATGAATGGATACAGAGAGAGGGGGGGGAGGGAGGGAGGGAGGGAGGGAGGGAGGGAGGGAGGGAGAGAGATCTTGTTATATATGGATGACATAATGATTAGCTTCTATAGAAACATTTTTGCTCATATGAACTTATCTGAATGGCATGTGACTTTCCCAGTTATAGTGGAGTATATATGAAATACTGTTCCTCTGAGGCAGGCTTGTCACACAGATTTAGTACCAAGTGAAATACCTATCCCTCAGGGCCACCAACAAAATGTCGCAGCATTATTCTTTTGTAGTCTGCTGAGCCCTTTTCCATTCCATACCCCCTTCCACCTGTTTTCCCTTTACTTCACCCCATAGTCATTTTTCATTGTATTTAGCAAAACCCGGGGCTTCACCAAGTCCATTTATGCATGACAGGTGCCAGTTTGGCTATTGGTACTTGTCTGTCAGTATCAAAAACTAAGGAAGTTGATTATGATTTTTTCTTTAAAAAAATACTATTTCTACTGGATTTTACACTCACACACTCCCCCCCATCCTCCCCAATATTAAAAGTTTTTAAAAAGGAAGATAAAAACAAATATAAAATAACATGAAATAAGGAAGGAAAACAAAAAGAAAGAGAAAGAGAAAGCTAAAAGTTCAAGAAAATAAAAAAGTAATCCAGCCTTTTGCAAGGTGGCTCATTTTGGTAGTGTAAGGCTTGATCTGGACACGAAACAAACAAATAAATAAATCAGCTTAGTGATGATAGCTGCACCAATGAGGATGGATAAGCTCACCTAGCAGCCTTATGTAGATGTTAAATAAGAAGGAGAGAACATGAACCCTGAAGCATCCCACATAGCAGGGGTTGAGAGAGGGATCTCTCCTCCGTAACCACCAGGGACTGAACTTGGCCTCAGAAAAAGGAGATGAACCATCACAACCATCCACTCACCACAAATCCTCTAAGACAATCCAGAAGAATATCACTGTTGATGGTATCAAAAGCTGCCAAGAGGTCAAAATAGGGTAAGGATGGATGCACAACCCCCACCCCTCCATCCCTCTCTTCCTATAGATAATCTAAAAGCATGACCAATACTGTTTCCATCCCATTCTCAGGCCTAAATCCCAACTGAAAGGGATCTGGATAACCAGACTTTAATGATTTTCTCTGGTTCTTTTTCTTCTATTCTGCTGTCTCCAAATATTGCAATGTCCACTAGGAAGACTTTACAATACTTATTTTCTGCCCAGCTCCCAGCAATTCTGTAGGTAGAGGCTACAATAGTCAAAGCATTTAGAAACAAAGAATAGTTTTTAAAACCCCACAAAAACAGCACATGCCAAAAGAAATCAATGGCCAATAAATCAATAAATAAACTGAAGGGAATGGGAAGGAAGGAAGGAAGGAAGGAAGGAAGGAAGGAAGGAAGGAAGGAAGGAAGGAAGGAAGGAAGGAAGGAAGGAAGAGGCAGGGAGGGAGGGAGGGAAGGAGGGAGGGAGGGAGGGAGGAAGGAAGGAAGGAAGAGGCAGGGAGGGAGGGAAGGAGGGAGGGAGGGAGGAAGGAAGGAAGGAAGGAAAGGAAGGAAGGAAGGAAGGAAGGAAGGAAGGAAGGAAGGAAGGAAGGAAGGAAGGAAGGAAGGAAGGAAGGAAGGAAGGAAGGAAGGAAGGGATATTAGGTATCCTTGCCTAGGTGAAGGTCTGGGTAAAGAGACAAATCTTTAATGCCCTTCAAAAAAAGAAGTAGGGTGGGAACCGCTCAAATTTGGGGGGGAACCACTCACATTTTGAGGGATTTCTAGTTATTGTTTCTAAAAATCTATATTCTAATTTTCAGCTTCTTTCACACTTTTTACTTCTATCCAATATATCCCATTCCCATATCTGATTGATCTTTGGGGCAATGATAGCATCCTTATGCCCAACTAAACCTGGGATGGCCTCAAGAAGATCCATTCTTGTTCTAACATATTCCATAGTTTGGTGATGTGATGATCACTTGTAAAATTCTGCCTCTCTAATTCATTGTTGATATTGTCACAACCTCTATATCAATGATGTCAGGTTAAAAATAAAATATGCATTGATGTGGAATGGGAGGTGATAGCCTATGTGGCTTCCATTTTCAGTAATAACATCACATTTCTTGTGAAGTTTAATTCCACTCTTCAACTTCATTTTAACGATATGCTATGCAGCTATAATCAAGGGAAATCATATAGCCAAAATTCATTTCTATCTTCATGTCATCCTGCCATAGAATATACTATAAATCATCTCTGGACTATATACAATTAATTTTCTCTTCTTTACCCATCTGCTTCTTCTTTTTTACCGTGTTTTTGTTACATTTGTTTTTAAGGTCACTCTCACATTTCATTTGAACAGCTGGTACTTAATATTGAAAGATTGTTGGATGATAAAGTTACACAGTCAGTGAAAGACAGATGTCATTTTAAAAACTCATTATGTTTTACTGTTTGCTAAAACAAGCACATTATGAGCACATTTTTAATAAAAGATTTGTCTGCCGGTTGAGGAATCTGGCTCCTTAAATCAGAAAAGTTTATTTTACCCTCATTTGAAAGACTGGCAAATTCAATTCTTTTTCTTCATACTTAAGGAACGTGGCCAGACTTCACAATTCTATTTACGAAACTTAAAAAGAAATGACACTATGGAAATTACCTTTATTTGAGATCATGTAATATGCCATTTCAGGATAAAAACTTTTTTTATAATTTTCAGGGTAACTGTTCTTCCAGATGGAAGCCTGCAGATTCTGAATGCCTCCAAATCTGATGAGGGGAAATACATATGCCGAGGAGAAAATATATTTGGTTCAGCAGAAATTACAGCTTCAGTATTTGTGAAAGGTGAGATTTAATAGGAATGTGATCTGAGTAGGTTAATAACTAAGTAAACCAGAGTAAACCAGCAAGTAACACCAAGTAAACCAGCAAAAGTCCAGTAAAAGCCAGTTTGGTCTAGTGGTTAAGGCACCAGGCTAAAAAGTGAGAATCTGTGAATTCTGGTTTCACATTAGTCACGAAAGTCAGCTGGGTGACATTGAGCCAGTCACTCTCTCAACAACTTCACAGAGTTGTTGTGAGGAAAATAAGAGGAAGAAGTATGTTGTATATCTTTGCCACCTTGAATTATTTGTAAAAATAATCCGGTGGGATACAAATAAATAAATGAAACTAGCATGCTGGTATTCCAATACTGTACTCTGCTAACTACAGCCCTGGTAGAACAGAAATAAGAATACTGAGATTCTTCTTCCTCTTCTTCTTCTTCTTCTTCTTCTTCTTCTTCTTCTTCTTCTTCTTCTTCTTCTTCTTCTTCTTCTTCTTCTTCTTCTTCTTCTTCTTCTTCTTCTTCTTCTTCCTCCTCCTCCTCCTCTCATCTATCTTCTATCTTCCTGCTTCCTGCTTCCTTCTTTCTTTTTCCTTCTTCTTTCCACCTTCATCCTCAACCACCAATTCCTCCTCCTCCTTTTCGTCTTTCCTCCTCCTCCTCCTCCTCCTCCTCCCCCTCCTCCTCCTTCTCCTCCTCCTCCTCCTCCTCTTCCAGTGGTTTTAAGGATAGTGGGGAAGGGATAGTGAAGGATTTGGACCTCTTGGATCCAAGGTTTCTCTCCTAACCTTGAGTAACTACAATCCCCTTGGAACTAGATTAGAACATGTACATACCAAATCCTTACATCAAGATTGCAACCTATTATCCTCTGCTATGAGTTTGGTGATCCAACATATTTAGCTGGCATCAGGTATGAAAACCATTTTTGACTTACAGTATTGTTCTGAAATAATTATATTATGCAACCGTCCAAAATCCAGACCTGTGCAGATATGTTGGGCCATAATATACCTATTGTTTCTGCTCATTGAAAGCAAGTAGAAGTTGCAGTGCAACACATATACTCTCTTTTTCCCGCCCACCTTCCAAAGAATGGTCACAAAGGAACTACTAATAAGAATAAAATAATTGCATTTTAAAAATTAATTATAAACATAAAGGAAACTTATAAAACATTTAAAAGATATCAGAGGAACAGCAACACACCAGAATTAACACCCAACTCTGCATCCTAAACATTCTACAAATCAAAATTGTGCCTGAATATTTTTTTCTTTTTCTGAACCACAGACACAAAGCATTGGGCTGAGAAAACTGATAAAAGAAAAAGGAAAGGAATGGGTGTGTGTTTGAAAAAAAAAATGCCCCCAAATTACAATTACTACTTAAGGCATCTATGTATGTTTTAGTGATCTTTGTCTCCTCTGCACTTTTATAATGACTGTGAAAAAGACAAACAAAACGAGATGTTCGTGTACAACACGAAGAATCACTGTCTACATTTTCCTGATTTTTCCATCTATTTTGCAAGAGTGTCAATCAGCGCAAGCCCAAACAGTAAAAACAACATTTGCAGGAATATTTCTTAGTTGATGCCATTGATTTGTTTTGTCTCCCAGAACCTACCAGGATAGACCTGTCCCCCAAAAGAACTGAGCTCACGGTGGGAGAAAGCATTGTCCTCAGCTGCAAAGCTTTTCACGACCCCACCTTAGATGTCATCTTTCACTGGAGTCTGAATGGACAGCCTATCGATTTTGAAAAAGAAGGTGGACATTTTGAAAGCATCAGGGCGGTGAGAATCAGTTAAAATCCATTTTCTTTGATGAGTTTAATGGAATGCAACATGCTGAACAAATCTTCAGTGCAAATTTGCAGATATGACTGAATTACAATTAGGAGAAGGATGGATGGATGGATGGATGGATGGATGGATGGATGGATGGATGGATGGAAGGAAGGAAGGAAAGAAGGAAGGAAGGATTCATTTACCAAATTTAATATTTCATTTAAATTAATTGAAGTATAGGATATTTGCTTTAGGCAAAAAAGAAATTGCAGAGAATCCAATCATTTGGCTATTGTTAAAATATTTCTGAGTTAAGACATTAGATACATTGGATCTTTAATTTTATAATTCGTAATTACTGGGAATTCTGGAATTTTTTTTTCTCAATTCATTTTAGAATACCAGAGTAACAAAGCTGATTTCATGTAAATGAGAAACATGTTCTGTCTTTTTCTTTCCTATTTTTCCTTCTCTTCAAAGATGATAACGCTTCAAACCTAGAGTGGCAACAAACTCCTAGTTAAATGTTATATTGCTGTCAATAGAAAGCTTGCCTTTTTAAAATTGATTTTCAAAAGAGTAAGCCACTTTCAGGAAACAATAGCAAAGACTATAGAAATATTTCCATAATTACCATGTTTATCTGCAATAAACATTCATAAAGGCAAATTTCAAGAGATATTAAGCACCCCTTTTGTTAACTGTGATTTATTTTATAGCCACTGTGATGACAAACAATGAAACCCAACACTCCATATATAAATACAGTTAATTATTTTTTAATTCCCATTAAGATTATTATAATTGATTATTTGAATGATTAGTACTGAGGATATTAACTAAATATTAATAATATCAGCAAATGTAACTCTAGTTCTGCACAAACTCATACAATAGACAGTATTTTTGTAAAGAGTCCACATCTATGTAACCAACCCATAAATATTCATTGCTCTGGGGAAAGAGCTCCAGCTCTGGGGGCTGATAGGCAAATAAAAATATTTTGGACTTTTGATATGGACATTTCATGGAATGGTTATGATTGTGCATATTCCCAGCCACCAAAGAGATATTTACCCTAGGAATCGGATTAGAATGCAGCATTGCAGGCTAACTCTGCTCACAGCCTGGAGTTCGATCCTGATGGGGCTTAAGGTTGACTCAGCTTTCCATCCTTCCAAGGTTGGTAAAATGAGGATCCAGATTGTTTGGGGCAATAGGCTTCCCTTGTAAATCACCCAGAGGGTGCTGTAAAGCACTGTGAAGTGGTGTATAAATCTAACTGCTATTGCTATTGGTATTACTAAGGTGACCAACCATCCTCCTTTAGGGAGGACAGTCCTCCTTGTGTAAGTGCTGTCCTCTCTCGAAAGATGTCCTCCTACATGTCCTCCTTTCTGATATTTGAAGACTAATCTGTAAATCTCCGTATTCGATCGATGCCGATACAATCCGTTGCATGTGATGTGACGTATTTGTATTTGACATGACAATTCGTCAAGGCTGGGTACAGTACGGTGAGACGCGATTATGAGACGCATGCGCTCTGCACAGGAGAATTGTTCTGAGAGAGTGCGCCGCGCGCAAGAGTGCTCCGCACGCAAGTGGCTTTGTTTACTTCTTACTGAAACATGACACGGCACACACGCACGCATTAGACTCACTTTTTTTTCTTCAATTTATTTGTGTCCTCCTTCTCATTGTAAAAAAGTTGGTCACCTTATTATTACCAAGTCAGTAAAATTTGAAACAAAGCACTGAGTGACATTTGTCTTCTGACAGAGGTGACAGTACTCCTTCTGCTGGTCAACAGGTTTGATGCCAAACCAAAATAGCCCAGCAGATAACTTCAAACTATTGTCATTTTTTTGCTCGGTGTACCTTTCCTGGCATGGAAGAAAGGAAGAGGAATTTAACTGGTCCTTATGTGAGGCCAGTGAAATGTCTGTGCCTTGGAATGACTATAAGGATCAGAAGAGAAGAACAGGGCGTTATGCTACCTTAAATATAGAAGAGAAGGAAGGGGGGAATTCCTGAGAATCAGTTTGGCCTAGTAATTATGGCACCAGGCTAGAAACTGTGAATTATAGCATCACCTTTGGTGTAAAAGCAGGCTGGGTGACTCTTAGATCTTATCCATGATGATCTGGTCCTTCAGGTGTTCCAAACTATTCTGATTATCACTGGAACTAGGGAAAGATACTATATTGTTGTTGTTGTTGAAAATAGTATGCCTTCCACATGTAATACAGGCTGAAATAAAGATTCCTATGAACATTCCTTATGGCTTTGAGAACCCTACATTTGAACTCTCTGAAGCACTGAAGAATGTGATAAATATGCCAGTAACAGTAAAACCACCATTTAAAAATCCTAGTTAGTGAACTTATGAGGGTACAACAGACCCAATCTGCATCTGGATATTGCCTCAAAATAACAAACAAAACATATCATATCAGGTAGTCTGGCCATTTCACATAAATTAACACCAGTGATGTAAAATGGCAACAATTGACACAGGTAGTCCTCAACTTACGACCACAATTGAGCCCAAAATGTATGTTGTTAAGTGAGAAATTTGTTAAGAGAGTTTTGCCCAATTTTATGACTTTTCTTGCCACATTTGTTAAGTGAATCACTCCAGTTGTTAAATTAGTATTATTAAGTGAATCTGGCCTCCTCGTTGACTTTGCTTGTCAGAAAGTCGCAAAAGATTATCACATGACCCCAGGACACTGCAACCATCATAAATATGAACCAGTTGTCAAGCATCCGAATGTGAATCACGTGACCATAGGGATGCTGCAACAGTCATAAGTGTGGAAAAATACCCGTAAGTCACTTTTTTTCAATACCATTGTAATTTCAAACAGTCACTAAATGAACTGTTATAAGTTGAGAACTAACTGTACTGCAAACTCAGATTTAACAAACATTGATTTGTGACAGATATTCCAGCCACTCATATGGTCCATTAAATTAAGATTTTATTTTCTTACTGAGTATTCAATAGCTTTAATATAGGAGAGTGTAATGGCCAGATTAAATATATATCAGTTAATTTTGGGGGTCTCTGGGGTCCTTAAACTTTCCAATTTATAACAGCCTGTAAGGATTTTGCCTGGTAAAGGAGAATGCATACAGGAGAAGACTTTAAATACAGACTGAAATGTGTTGAATCTCTGTTCAGAACTCAGAATCGTGGATAATGAAGATGACAAAAGAATAGCTGTGTTTAAAAACCTACAGCATCCCAAAATTAACTTAAACTGCCTTTTGTTGCACAGATAATGGCACTTGCAAAATCTAATCACCAGAGACAATGTAGCAAGTATTCCTAAAGGAGCTAGGGATATGATTGGTTTTTACTAGCCTAAAATTGATTCCATTCTAAATGTAAATTTGAGTTAAATATTAACACAGAGCCATGTAATATATATAAAGGAAAGGAAACTCTGTAAGGAAACAAACAAAAGACTAATAAGGTGCTGATTTGAATAAAAACTTCTTATGCTAATTTATAGATGCTGGTATAAATCCTAACTATGTTTTAAAGCAGAGCATTGTACAATATTGCAAGGGCGGGGGGGAACCAGCACTAGATATCATCCAGGTGGGTGTTCAAACTAAACTCTGCCAAGCTATACTATTTGTCAAAGTAGCAAAGGAGGGTTTCCCATTTTGTCTCAAGAAGCTTGAGAATTTCTTCCCAGTTTCTCCTGACTAAGATAGTAGCCTTCCAATATCTGAGGGGCTGTCACAGAGAAGAGAGCAGGACAAGAAGTAACAGATGGAAACTTATCAAGGAGAGAACCAACCTAGAACTAAGGAGAAATATCTTGATTAATCAGTGAGAACCATTAATCAGTGGAATAGCTTGTCTTCAGAAGTCCAACCGCCTGCTATAATAATAATAATAATAATAATAATAATAATAATAATAATAATAATAATAATGTTGGAAGGGACCTTGGAAGTCATCTAGTCCAACCCCCTGCTCAGGCAGGAAACACCAGTGGTTCTCAACCTTTTTAATGCCACGACCCCA